TACACCCTAGTATAACCTCCTCACCCTCAGAGTGGGCTGAATAGAGCAACTCATTTCCAGTGAATAGAAAAGAGAAGAGATGTCACTTCTGAGACCAAGCTACAGAGATTTGGTGCTTCCTCTGGGGGAGTTCCTCTTGCCTCGTGGCTCACCTGCTCTGAAGGAAGCCAGATGTCATGTGAGCTGCTCCATGTAGAGGTCCATATGGCATGGAACTGAGGAAGACCCCTGGCTGGCAGCTAGAGAGGAAGTGAATCCTGCCAGTGATGCTGGTCTGCCCTCAGCTGAGCCTTCAGATGAGACTACAGCCTTAGATGAGGCTAAGCTGTAACCAGAAAGTATAAGATAATAAATGTTTGTTGTTTTAAGCCATTAAGATTTAGGGTGATTTGTTATATAGGATATCATATATGAAATAGTTCTCAGAAATATGATTAGGAGGGATATAACCTAAGACTCAATCATAGAAATGTCCAGACAGGAGGCACAGCAAAACTCAATCATTAGCAGACTGTAAGTATTATGTCAAGAAGGATTAATAATTTCCCTTTGAGTGATTATTCAATGGGGAAAGTTCTGTAAAGTACCTGGTACTTTGTTCAGCACATGGAAAACTCTCAAAAACAAGTTACTATAATAACAGCATTCTCAAGAGTTTATTTAAGAGAAGTTCCATTATGAATAAATTTGAGAATGTGAAGAGGGGTAGGGTTTGGAAATCATAGGCAATAGTGTTTGGAAACCATAGCAAAGAGCTAGATGCCATTGCTAGGGTAGCCAGGAAGTTTGGGCTCCTAAACATAAGAGCAGGGATGCTTATACGGAGTCTAGTGTGTATCACTATACTATGGGAAATTCCTTCAAAAAATTAATATGGGCCCAATTCATCTTATAAAAAGTTTTTAAATTGTTTTTCAAGTTTTTTGGCATGCTGTTTGTTTCTATCATACCAGAATTGGAGAAAATACCTGTTTTCACCACGTTTCTTGACAATTATGTTTTAACCTTTTGTTTTGTCACACTTTCTTCTTTCAATGGTGATTCCTAATCTTTTAAATATCTTTTGTCTCTTCCTGCAATGAACTTTCATGCAGTCTGCACAGACATTTGTTGGCCTTGTCCCTTTTCTCCTCTCCTTGACACCCCCTTACCCCTGGTCTCCTTATCTCTCTCCTGGATTACTGCACAGCTTCTCAGCAGGACTTCTCAGCCACTGGCCAGCCAGGATTCTGAGCAGAACCACAACAGTGCTGATTACAACACTACTTGATACAAGAAATTATAGCTGTTACTTTTATAATCATTCAGCAAGACTGAAGTGGAGAGATGAAAAGGGTTTGACAAAGCCGGTGACACAGGAATAACCCAGGTAGAGGAGAGAAGCCACTGAAAGTTGAAGGGATATAGACGCTGAACATCAGCGTGACAAGCAATACAGTCTGGGAGGTCAGTGCTATTTACCAGGCTGATTTAAGGCTTGAAGAAGTGGCACATTTGGTGAGCAATTACACTCAGGCCAGACAGGCCCAAGGAGCCAGAAGCTAAATTAGATTATCAAGCATAAGATGCTGAGTGAGCCGAGCTGCCTGTGTGTGGCATGTATATTTGGATCAATAAGCCGCAATAGTTATTCCTCTCAGACTTTTGCCCTAGGGACAGAGTCTGTACAAAATGAACGCAGCTGTTTGAAAATAAACACTGTGGTTTACAAAACTCAAAAAAGGAAGAGGCTGGGGGTGGTGCCTGTGGCTCAAAGGAGTAGGACTCTGGCCCCATATGCTGGAGGTGGCAGGTTCAAACCTGCCCCGGTTGGTGTGTAGTTCCCTCTGCTTGACTACTCCATCACTCATGGATCCTCTGTGCTCACTGCTCCCAAAACCAGTTTGGTCAGAGCCTGGAAAGCTGACATGACTTCCCATCACAGGCAGGGTCTCAGCGCCTAATGGAAGTAAGGAGATGTAGACAGCATGTGAAGTCCTCCTAAGTTAGTGCTGAATCCCTGGGACCTGCCACAGAGTCAGGATTCATGTTCTAGAGCTGCTCCTTTCTGCCCTTCCTTCCCAGCACCCAGAAATTGCTTCAGACCAAGTGCACACCACCTTCTACAGACCTGCCTGGTGCCTTCTTGAATCTTAGGTGTCTAGGCCAGAGTTGGCAGGTGGCCACAGGACCATCAGCAGATTCCATTCTGTGTAGCAAGAGAAAGTAGAGGGAGGAATTAAAACCAGAGGCCTGAGCAGGTTCCTTCTTCATCAAGGCCACTATGGCCCACAGAAACCAGGAGAAGCCTGTTTTGTGCAAAGCTTCTTCACATCTGTGTACAAGATACCTGGCTGTGGGTGGGAGCCAGCACAGTGGACAGAGGACAGAGGGGACCAGTGCTCACTTCTCTGTAGCCTCTTCCATATGTATGTTTAATTCTACAGTGATGTTAAAAAGAAAGCTTCACCAGACCCCATCACTAATAAATCCATTGCTGTAATTTTCCATTTGCCTTTCTGATCTTAACTATGTACAAGGAGTAATGAGAATTTATAATCAGAGAATAAATATAATCAGTAAAATCTGTGATGACTGTGATTCCAAGGGTTTCTGGCATTAATTTTAAATGGAATGTCATGATCCTTCACACTGAAAGAAATAAAGCATAAATTCTGGAAATTTTCAAAAATAATGTTTATTCTCACTAAGTGGTTTTGTATCACTTTCATTATCTTCCACTTGTTTTGTTCAATATGGAATAATTCTAGGAGACCTTTAAGGGTGGTAGAATATAAGACAGAGGCAGGATTTTTTTTTATTAAGTCAAATACACATAGATCATGAACACATTTATGCATATGTGGGGTACAATGTTTTGATTTTTTTTTATAAAATCTGACGTGGTTACATCAAACCAATCAACATAGCTTTCACCTCATTTACTTGATTATTGTGTTAAGACATCTATGTTCTACACTTTGCAGATTTGACTTCTACCCTTACCATATGCTCCATAGTACTGGTCCCACCATATACCCTCCCTCTGTCAAACCTCCCCCTTCCCTCACTTCCCCCACCATTTCTCTCCTTTATCTGGGGCTATAGTTGTGTTCTATCTTTCATACGAAAGTGTGAACAAGTATAAGTAGGTTTCATAGAAATACTGAGTACATTGGATACTTTTTCCTCCATTCTTGAGATACTTTACTCAGGAGAATATGTTCCAGATCCCTTCATGTAAACATAAAAGAGGTAAAGGCTCCTTCTTTTTTAAGGGTGCAAAGTATTCCATGGTATACATATACCACAATTTATTGATCCAATCATGGGTCGATGGGCACTTGGGCTTCTTCCATGACTTGGCAATTATGAATTGAGCTGTAATAAACAATCTGGTGTAAATATCTTTGTTGCCCAATGATTTTTGGTGTTTTGGATGTACTCCTAGAAGAGAAATTGCAGGATCAAATGGCAGGTCTACGTTTAATCCCTGAGTGTTCTCCAAACTTCCTTCCAAAAGCAATGTACTTACTAGCTTGCATTCCCTCCAGCAGTGCAGAAGTGTTCCCTTTTCTCCACATCCATGCCAGCATCTGTAGTTTGGGGATTTTGTTATGGGGGCTACTCTTACTGGAGTTAGATGGTATCTCAAAGTGGTTTTGATTTGCATTTCTGTGATGATTAAAGATGATGAGCATTTTTTCATGTGTCTGTAGACCATGCACCTGTCTTCTTTGGAGAAGCTTCTGTTCAGGTCTCTTGCCCATAGTGAAATGGGATCACTTGTTCTTTTTTTATTAATAATATTGAGTTCTCTGTGGATTCTGATTATCAGACCTTTGTTAGAAACGTAACCTGCAAATATCCTCTCCCATTCTGAGGGCAGTCTACTTAGTCTACTTGCTTTACTTACTGTGTTCTTGGGAATGCAGAAGCTTTTTAGTTTGATCAGATCCCAGTAATGTATTTTTGGTCAGAGGCAGGATATTAAGACAAATATGTTAGATCTCCCTGCAGGATTCTGTGATAGGTCTCTTGGGGCTGTACTTTCAATGTGTGAAGCCAACAGGAGAAAATATCCAATAATTGCAATACTACTTTGTCAATGCCTACCATAATTATGCCAGTGTGCCTTATGGCTTCCAGTAGCTTTTTGTCCTTTAAAGAAGCAGAGTAATCTTTTGATTTGTCCCTAGTCAATCATCTCTTTTAATGGGGAAACATATCCCAGAGAGGATAAGCTCATTTATCATTTGGTTCTTCTTTCTAGGCTTATGCCAATAAGACCCAAACTTTGGCCTTTGTCTCTGACCCAGAGAAGCAGGAGCCCCTTCTCCCTCCCTGGGGACAAACCTCCTCCTTCCACTCTGCCTTCCTCTGGGAAGTTTGCTCTGTTTAGTCTCCATTTGAGATGAGGATCTTCCTATAGTCAGTATTTCCCTCTCAGTCCATACACATGCTAAAACTTCCCCTATCCTAAATAAAAGCCCTTCCTTCATTTCAGGGCATTTCTGGACATCAAACTTCTTAAACAATTTGTTCATACTTGTCATTACCTTGTGATTTCTTTTTGTTTCTTAATGTGTTACATTCTGGCTTCTATGACTTAAATGCAGTTTAGAGGGCAAAATAATGGGCTGTTGATAGAGGGATGCCAATTTGTCAATCAAACACATCCTTATGGGATACTGCTATCTTGGGGAAGTTACTACAATTTAGGGTTGGATTATAGTAACTGAACATTTCTAGTGTTTCTCAGAAGACTTGACTTATGCTAATCAAACTTGTAAGTGACTGATATGTAAAATAAAATTTCAAGTTTTTAAGTTATAATGATAAATATTATCACCTTGTAAACCAGACTGTGTAACTAGTACATTTTTTCTAAGTAAAAAAAACAACAAAAAAAACACATAAATGCTGTTTGAAAGGCAGGGAATTCAATTCAGAAAACATTCCATTGTATGCTTATATGGCTAATGATTTCAAGGTTTTTTTTTTTTGTTTGTTTTTTTTACCAGGGGAAAGTGCAAATTCAGTCTCCCACTACCACAGATTATGCAATCAAGTTTCCACATATGGGGACATCACAGGAGCCAGCAAATCCAGAGTGCAATGGATAAGCTTCACCCTGGGTAAACCACCTTTGTGATCATAGTATCTCCTCTGCCAGGTAAGTATGACTTCAAGTTTTAAAAGCTATAAGAATCTATTTTTATAATGTAGCAGTCTGGAAAGGCTAAGCAGTATCTTAGTCTGTTTTAGTTTACTGTAAAGAAATATCTGAGGCTGGGAAATGCATTTAAAAACAGAGGTTTATTTTGCTCATGGCTCTTCAGACTGTACAAGAAGCATGTACTAGCATCTGCATCTGCTGAGGGCCTCAAGCTGCTGCCACTCACTGCAGGTGAAGGGGAGCAGGTGCAGGGATCCCATGGTGAGAGAGGGAACAGGATGGGGAGGGGTCGCCAAGCTCTTTTTCAAAACCAATTTTTCCAGAAACTAAAAGAATGAGAAATCGCTCATCCCTGAGGGAAGGCATTAATTTATTTATGATGGACCCAACCCCAAGACCCAAGCACCTCTCATTAGGCTCCACCTCCAACATTGGTGATCAAATTTCAATGTATGATTTGGAGGGGATAAATATCCAAACTGTAGCAACCAGAGTTTGCATTTGTTTGTAGTTCAGAGTATTTAGGATAAAGCCAGTTGTATGTTGTTCACTCTCATGTTGTCCTTTTTTTTTTTTTTTTTGAGACAGAGTCTCACATTTTCACCCTGGATGGGGTGAAAATGCCATGGTGTCATAGCTTACAGCAACCTCAAACTCTTGGGCTTACCAAGAGTTTTGATTCTCTTGCCTCAGCCTCCTGAGTAGCTGGGACTACAGTCGTCTGCCACAACATCCAGCTATTTTTAGAGATGAGGTCTCACTCTGGCTCAGGTTGGTCTCAAGCTCAGGCAATCGATTTGCCTCAGCCTCCCAGAGTGCTAGGATTACAAGCATGGGCCACCACATCCAGCCTAGTTTTATGTTTTTTAACTAAGATATTTTTATGATCCATGAAATCCATTATATTAGTTTTTCACTAGACATGTTGCTATCTTTGGTTAGCCCTCTTTTCTTAATATTAGCATAGCAGCTAAGACTTACTGAATATTTGCTATATACTAGACAATGTTTCAATCATTTAACGGACAATATCTTGTTTCATTCTCACTCTAATCCAAGAATAATTATGATATCTACTTTGTAGATGAGGCTTTGCAAGGTTTATTATTTTGCTCAAGATCATATAGCTAATAAGAGCAGAGCTAAGATTTGAATCGGTTTCAGTTATTTCCAAGCTGGTGCTCTTAAGAATTATGGTCTGTAGCCTATTATATCTACAGTTAGACTTCTGGCTTGGGTTCCAGGAAGTAGTTTTCATTCTTTGTTTCAAATTAAAGTGATCCATGGAGATTTAAAAAAAAATACATATGCCTGTTCCCCATTTAAGCCCTGATAAATCAGAATTCCCAGGAATAAGGCCTCCAACTGTGTTTTTTCATTTTTTCAAAGCTCCATGAGTGATTCTCATTTGCATTAAAGGGTGATAACCCATCCTCTGAAGACTAACATCCAATTACTTGATGTTCAGGCACATCTAAATTTAATGTGTATAAACTGAACATTTTGTCTCCCTCCAAACTCTCTGGCTTAACCAGTACTCTCAGTAATAAAAGTGCAAAGGAAGCAAATCCCAGATGGGAAGGTTTTTTAGTAAGCAGTGAATTCAAGTCAGATAATCTAATTAAATGGGGACTTTGTGTTTCTAGTGGCACCTCCCACTCAGTGTCCAATGATAGAAACATCAGATACATCCTATATCTCCCTTGTCTATTAGGCAAACAGTCCACACTGCTCCCCTCCTTCCCTGTTACCTTTTTACTCAGCACACGTGTCAGTCCCTTTGCTCTGCAGTCCATCCTCCACGTTGGTCAGAGCCCTGCTGCCAGCTGACACATCTAGTCACTCTATCTTCGCTTAAAACCCATGCTTACCCCTCTTACCTTTGAAATGAAGTGTTGTATTCAGAACACTTGAGATCTCTAAAATCTGACTTCATTGTATCTGCACAGCCACAGCTTCTGCCATTGGTTTCTATAAACTAAACTTAGGCTTTAGTAGAAAACATGTTCCAGAACTTCCATGCTGCCTTGTCACTATGTATGCCTGAAGTATCCTTCCCTTCTCTATCTGCCTAGAAAACTGACACTCACTGAGTGGTGGTGCAGTACTTCCTGAGCCTGGCTGGTCATGAAAATAATCTAGGAGTTGCTTTAAAACATCCACCCACCCATCCACACACACTCTCTCTCATGTGGAGGTCTGGAATTTCTAGGAGCTGTATTTTTTGAAATCCTCCCCAAATAAATTATATAATCAGCTAGTTGTTTTTGAAACAACTATTGTACTGGAAGTCATTTGAGATAGAATTATTTGGTGCTGGGTTTGAATCCCATCTCAGACCCTTAGTTCAGTCATATCCTAGCTGTGACCTATGCTGTGAGGTGTTTGGCAAATCACTTTGCCTTTTTGAACCATAGCTCTCAATTGGTAGATGAGGACAGAAATGCCTAATTTACAGTGTTAGCATAATGACTCAAAATAAAATATATAAACTACCCAAAGTATATTAAATGTTCCATAAATTATTGGTATTATTATTATCTTTCTAGATGTAGTTCAAATGTTATCTGCTCCATGAAGCTGTCTCTGGCCCTTTCATGTACCTAGTTATTCTCTCTCCTAAAACAAAATTTTGTTCTTGCTTTATTATAGGGTATATGTGCCCAAAATTGTAGTACAAAAAAAAAAGTTATATTATTTTGTTCCTTGAAGTCCAATTAAATTTCCTTTGAACAAACACTAGGGTTGAAGAGATATTTAAGCTAAGGTGTTACAATAGAACCTTCATACTTGGCTACCTCCCAACATTGACCACCTCCATAAGTTGACCTAATTTTCATAGACAGAACATGTACCACATCTACTTATCAGTACAGTAGGCCTAGTTCCTTATGTTGGCCATCTCCATGTGTTGATGAGTCTGTTAAAGTGAGGTTCTACTGTATTTGATGGGGAACCCACACAGTCCTGGTAGGAGGCTTTCTCATCCTAAGATGATAGTGGTCATTGTCAGAACCCACATGATTCCTTTAAGACAGACAGCTTTGTGGCTTTTGTGTCAAATTTAGACCTGGAAATTGGAATAGTGTCTAGGCGTCCTAGGAGATTACTGGGCCTGGTCCCATCTGAGGTGCTGCCAGGCAGTGAGTGTCTGCTCGCCTAGAACCCCCAATGCTCATTTTCCACCCCACCATCAACCCTGACCTGAGCTCCAGAGAAGTTCTAGAGCCCATTTTTTCTCTCCTTTCAGGGGTCATTATCTTCTCCTCTCATGGCAGTATTCTCCCTCCCTGGACAATTCAGAGTTCTAGTTCCATTGCACATAGGGAAAAACTTCTAGGTATCTGGCAACCTTACACTTTTGACTGACAAGAGTGTTAATAAATACCATGAGGCAAGTTAACCCAACTACTTTTTTGAAAAAGGAAAAGAGAAAAGAAGTTCCAGTGGGAGCAATAAACAATATTTCCATTTCTTTTTATATCACTCTTACATTAATTACTTTGCATTGTGAGTATTAATCTCCTTCACTGAACAATGAGTCCAATCAAGTAACTCTAGATTTTGGGTATATGCATTTTCAATGTCTAGTCTAGGCTTGTCATTTGCACCTACTATATATTTAATAAGTGACAGCTGAATCAATGAATGAAGCAATAAATAGATAAGTGAGTCCATGGTACATGAATTAGTTGGCTCTACAAATGGACTCTTCAAACCCTTTTAAAAATGTATTACTTTAGTGGATATTACACAAGTAACACATGTTGGTATCAAGTCAAACAATATAGAAGTACATGAATTAAAAGATTTTATCACTATGTCAAAAATGTTTTCCTTGTTTTATGATGGAGGAATATGAAGCTAAGAGGCTTACTCTAAGTAACTGGTTCGTGAGTAATGAAAAAAGTTTGTACTAAAGTTTAACATAGTATTTGAAAATTAGAAGTTATTTAAGTTTCCTTTCTGTAGTTAGCACACTTAAAGACATTTATAAAACCATCAGAGGAGCTGGATAGAATTATAGAAATAAGAATCTGAAATTCTGCACCTCTAAATTATACTTTTGGCCAGGTTGAAGGGTTGGGGAATACTATAAATTCTGAAAACAGAACTGACAAGTTATTGATCACAAGTAGTTTACATGTTTAGACATTACAACTAAGAATCTAATCAGGGTTCTTAATCAGAGTTCTTCAACTACTGGCAGAAGTTGAAAATAAAGTCTTACACAGGCACACCCATTGGTTTACATGTTGTCCACTACTACAATGACAAAGTTGTTTCAACAGAGATATCATGGCCAATAAAGTCTAATATATTTACTATTTGGTCCTTTGCAGAAAAGATCTTGCTGACCCTTCTAATTTGTTATTCCCAACAGCCAGCCTCAGATTCCCAGGAGCCCATGAAGTTACTCAAAACACTTGGTGTTTTTAAAAAATCCTTGTGTTGTGGCCCATTCCTGTAATTTCAGCTACTTGAGAGGCTGGGGCAGAAGGATTGCTTGAACCCAGGAGTTCAAGGTCGGCCTGGGAAACATGGTGAGATCTTTGTCTCAAGAAAACAAGGAAGCAAACAACCCCTCCTCCCCCAAACATCTGTGAATCTGTATATTCTACAAGCTTGACTATAGTACAAACAAATCTGGCTTAAATATAAATTTTCAAACATATATTAAAAATACAAAATAAGCAAAATTCAAATTAATTTAAAGCATTAGTGGGTTTTTGGTAGTCTTTTATATTTATGTATTTTTTCCAATTAGAGGATTAATGAAAATACAATTTATGTCATGTGGAGTTGCTTAAGGGTGTCTTTTTTTTTTTTTTTTAATGATTGTAAACCATTGATCTAGTTAGGCTCTGTGGTCCAGGAAGATTACCTTAAAGAAGCATAGAAGTCTTGATCAATTTAAATATTTGAAATTAATTATAACATGTTGTGGTCACTGATGGCAAGGGGCAAATTCTATATCACAATAAGTATTATGGGTGAAAATAAT